GGAAAGCGAAAGGGAAGGGGAAGGGCCGCGGCCCCTTCAGAGGCGGGGTCGGAGGCCGCGGCGGAGGAAGAGGCGCGGGCGGGGAATCTCCCGAGTAGCAGGAAGCCCAAAGGCGGCAGCGAGGACGACACCCTGTCTTGGGTGCGTGGGAGCCCGGCGCGCCTGCGAGACGAAGAGACCGGCAGGTTCGGGACAACCGGAGACTCGGTGATCTTTGCCGCTCCCGAAAGTGAGGCAGGGACGGGCCCGGTTATTACTTGGATGGGAGACCAGTGGCAAAGCACCAAGGCTGTAGGCTGGACTGGGAAGTGCAAGAAGTCTCCCAGGTGAAGGCAGTGGCAGACCCCTTCCTACTCTCGCCACGAAAACGACAGGTGGCATCCAAGAGTCATGGTGGCCTTGGAAGAAGCTTTGCTGGTCCCAGTGGGGGACAACCTTGGCTGAAAACCCCAAAATGGAAAGCGATGGACTTGGATAGGAGATTATTAGAAAACCCCAGTGCTATAAACTAGGCTGGGAATAAGAAAGCAATACAAGGATGGGCAGATAATTGCTAGGAATCAATCTGAAGTTGAGGGAGACCCTATCTTTTGACTCTGGATACATTTTTCTTCTCCAAAATGGACTTGCTCAGGCATCGTTGTTGTAAAGTGGGATTTGCCACAAAATGTTGCAGTGTGGGCAGAACTTGGAATCCTTAACCTGACAGCCATCTCCTTTCAAGGACACTCCATTCTGTGACCCTTCACTCTTCTCCGTTTTCCATCCTGCTTCTATCAGTGTTCTGTGACCACTCACACCCAGGCTGTGTCTGCATCCCATGGTCACCCAATTGTCAGTACTTCTAGGTAGGCCAGGTCAGGAAATAGACACCACAAAGACTATTACAACTTTATTGTTGTAGGCTATAAACCTGTAAGCCTGGCAGAGTTTTCCTCTGCCCCCCATTATTCCAAAGAGAATCAAGGCGGGTTAAGCTTGAGTTTCATTCTCACCTTCTCCTCTTTCCCAGGATTTACTTAACTGGTTTTGCATTCTTTCTTCATTTTGCATTACTCCTGCACTCCTCTATGCCCACCCAGTTTCTGGGTTCCTCTGAAACACTGATGCCTTCCAAATGTGTAGGATTACAGCTCTGATCTCTGGTCAGCATAGTCCAGCTATGTAGGCTTGAGTTGATGAGAGTTGTAATCCAACACATCTGGAGGGCATTAGGTGGGGTATAGCTAGACTAAATTCTGCAGAGTAATGTCTTAACCGTATTCTGGCTTAGTATTTCCAGATCTCTTCCTACAACTCTTGCCCAGTCATATGCTGCTTCCATCTTCAGTGTCCTTCCTAACCTTCATACAGTTTTCCAGACTGCAGAACTACTTTGACCCTTGCTTAAGATGCATAATCCTCACGTTCAGACTCATAATCA